GATTCCCATAAAACTAGGTGATTATTAAGTGGGGCTAGGGCCTGTATGTTCCTTTGGCACAAGAAGAGAAAGTAAGTTCAACTGAGAATGGCAAAAATGCTTGGAGAAGGGGTGACAATCAACAAAAATTGGACACAGTCTCTCGGCCCATGGTTGACAACCTTCATACCATGCTTCTCCAAGTGCCCGACACCCCTTGTTTTCAGTGAGTGGCAGAACGTTCTTTGACTTTCCAGATTTTAGGCCTTGGGAAAGTGGCTTAACATCTGAGAGCATCAGGGTTTGGGGCTCCAAATTGAAGTTGATGCTGCTGCACTGCTCATAATAAGTATCATAAGACATCTGATGAGCACTTACCTCATGCCAGGCCCTGCCTACTAAGTCCCATGTAGGCAGTGTTTCACTTGATCCCCAAGACTCTGTGAGGTGGGCATCATCATCTCCACTTCACAGATGGGGCTACTCACAGCTCTACCCAACTCGAGAACTTGAATAATGGATAAAACACATGCAATATCTGGTGTACAATGATGATTCAAAAAGAAAATGAGACTTCTATATATAAGAGAATGATATTTTAAAATAATCAAATGATAATGCTTTAAAATGCACATTTAAATAATGATACGTGTGCAGAAAAAAAAGCTCCTAAAGTATAAACACCAAGTTATGCAAAAAAGTGACCTTTGAAGGGGATTTTTACTTTTACCTGAGTTGTTTTTAACAAGCATATATTACTTGTATAACTTAAAACACACTCAAAAGATCAGAAACATTAAAAAAATACATAGAAAAAATAACCTAGATGGAATATGCTGAAATATTAATGGCAATTGCCTGATTGATTTTTTTCCTTTTTCTTTTAATTTCTACACATGCATTAGTTTTTACTAATTCTTAACACAAATACATTCTCCTTAAATATACAGATACAGGCTGTTACCACCTTCACCTCCCAATTCTAGGCCCCTCCCCAGAGGTAATCGATGTTATCAATTTGGTGTATATTCTTTTGTGTATATGTATATATGTGTATACAATGTGTATATTCATATACACACATGTATTATATATACACATTACATATATATTATCATTTTGTGCCTTTTTTAAACAAACGACATCAGTTTATGAGTCTCTCTGCAATTTTATCCATCAAGATGTCTCAAAGATTGTCCCATGTCAGTAAGTAATATGAATGTGCCCCATTGTTTTAGATTAAGTAGTAACCCAGAGTATAGATATACCAAACGTCATTTAGATACTTACAGCATTTAGGTTGTTTACAGTGTTTTTCTACTATAAATAACACTGCAGTGAATTCCCTTATAAATACCTCCTCCTGCAGGCATGAGAGGGTTTCTTTGGAACAAATTTTAAGAAGCGGAACTGCGGGGTCAATAAAAGATGTGCATTTGTTATTTCAATAGATAGCACATCAAATTGCTTGACCAAGTGACTGCACATGACTTTATACTCCCACTGGCAGCGTAGGCACACATCACTGCCAATACTTGTTATCAAACCCTTTACTTTTTGCCATCTTGATGAATGGAAATGATACTCTGTTGTTGTTTTAATTTCCTTGAATAACAGGATGTGCATCTTTTCACATTTTTATAGGCCATATATGTTTCCTTTTTTTTTTTTTTTTTTTTTTTTACAAATGTCTTCTTTACAAAATGTGTCCATTTTTCTGTTGCAGGTTCGTCCTTTTCTCATTGACTTGTAAGAGCTCTTCATATATTCTGGAAACTAATCCTCTGTCTACCTTGTAAGTGCAAGTAGTTTTTCCCAGTCTTTGCTGGCCTTTCAACCCGTTTATAATTTTTCTGGGGGGAGGGGGAATCTAGTTTCTCATATAGATACATCAAACTCAGAAAATTACGGCACTTGCACATTTTGTGTTTTAAGAAGGCCATCTCTACCCCCAAGGTCATAAAAATAATCCATTTTTTTCCTAATAAATTCATCATCTTGTTTTTTCATGCTTATTTAATCCATCTGAAATTTTAGTGAATGGTAGGAGGTAGGGTCCTTAATCATATTTTTAATGCCTAGGCAAGGGATAAATATCCACCTTTCTTCACTGATTACAAATACTACCTTTATTATATACTAAGTTTCCATATACAGCAGTCAGTTTCTATTCATTGATTTTTTTGGTCTACTTCTGTATCACAACCAAGATGTTTTAATTACTACAGCTTAAAATATATTTTGACATCTGCTGGCAATCCCCCCTCCTTTTTGTTTTTCCAAATTGATCTTGGCTATTCTTATACATTTGCTTTTCCAAATGAACCTTAAAATCAGTTTGTCAAATCCCAATAGAAATCCTGGGATTTTGACTGAGGTTGCACTGAAGTACAGATTAGGTATAAATCGACATCTTTACTACATCAAACCTTCCATCTATAAACATGTAGTATCTCTCTATTTACATCTTTTATATACTCTAGTTAACATTTTATAGTTTTTATGCACAATTTAGGTTCATTATCAGGCACTCATAAAGTCTCTTATTAGTTCTTATAACTTGTCAGTTGATTCTCTTGCAATCACATTGTCTGCAAATGAATGTGTAGTCTCCTTTCCAATGTCTGTGGGTCTCACTACTTTTCTTTTCTTATTGCACTGGCTACAATAAAAGGCAGAACAATTATGAATAGTACTGGTAATAGTGTCCTCCCTGTCCTATTCATCTAATAGGTTTGCTTAAGCACTTCTCCATTAGTAGGTTTTCTGTGGGTAACCTTCATCAGGTTAAGGGGATTCTGTTCTATTCTATTTCTATTCACGCATAGGGTTGCCCATCATCAGATGCTTTTTGGGGGCAACACTGAGATAGCACAATTTCTTTCTTCTTTATATATGTTTTTGTGTGTCTGCCTGCTGATGCAGGAGTGTGGTACGCAGGCCTCTCACTGTTGTGGCCTCTCCTGTTGTGGAGCACAGACTCCGGATGCGCAGGCTCAGCAGCCATGGCTCACGGGCCCAGCTGCTCCACGGCATGTGGGATCTTCCCGGACCGGGGCATGAACCCGTGTCTCCTGCATCAGCAGGCGGACTCTCAACCACTGCGCCACCAGGGAAGCCCTTCTTTATATATTTTGAGAATTATGTACATTGATAAGTTTTCTATGTTTTGAACCAATCTTTCACTCTTGGTTAAAAGCCCTTTTTAGTCATAATGTATTTTAGTTTCTGATTTTTACATCTGTGTTTACAAGTGAAAAAAGCCTATATGTAACTTTCTAATAAGGAAAATGAATACACGCCAAAACAAAGGATTAGACATATGTACATATTTTTGCATTATTTGTTAAAAAGAAAACATACAGGTAAAGGTATGCTTAATTTTTCTTAAAAATTAAACAAAGTGTGTGTAAATTGAATGTTTGCAAAATAATCAAATGGAGTATGCTTTAACCTGTTTTTCTACTTACTAAAATCTCTATTTGGGTTGATGGTGTCACCATCAATCCAGTCACTCGCTCCAGGAAGAATCATTGAAGTCTCCACTCCTCCTCCTACACCTTCCACACCAGCCATTCACCTAGTCCCAAAGATCCTACCTCATACCTCTCCTGGGAGGCCACAGGATGAAATGGGCAAGGTCGGGAATTTAAGAAAGACCTCGATCCACTCCCAGTGCAAATTACTTCATTGCCTTGGGTAAGTTACCATACCTCTCTGGGCCCCAATTTCCTCAGCCATAGATAGATAAGATACTATCAAGACTAGAGAGTTGTGGTAAAAATTAAATAACACATGTATGTACCTAACACAATGCCTGCCATCTAATGCATGACCAAATGTTAGCACTATGTCAACAAGGTCTCCTCTTCTACATTCCCCTCTTCTGTCAAGTCCTAGGGGAGTCCTTCCAATCTTCCTCTGGTCTACGACAACTGTCCTCTAGTCTTTCTGCCATCTGGACATTGCTGCCAAAGCTTACGTTCTAAAATACAAATCTAATCATGTAATTTATCTGTTTAAATCTTTTCACTGGCTCCCAACTACCTACTAGATAAAATTTCCAACTCCTCAGCATAGCTTATAAGGCTTAGCTCAACAGACCTTCTGCCCTTACCTTCCTCTACTCCAAGTGCTTTGTCTTTAAACAAAGCAACGCATCTTCTGGTTATGTTAACCAGACTTTCAAGTTTGATTTTTTAAGCAGAATAGGTTTTCTTAAATTAGCCTATACCACAATGAAACCAATTTGCCCTTCTAGCAGTTTTAAGCTTCATGGAATAATTCTAGAGCCAACTAACCTCTCTCAGAGTTCCGATTAGATGCATGCTGGCTGAAAGGCCCCCTTGAATTCACTACTCTTCGGGTGCTGGTAGTCCGTCATTAAAGTATTATGTTATTTTGAAAGAATGTATCATCCATGACTTAGACTTGTTCTCAATGAACAATTTTCTTCCAGAAGTGCAATCATCCTGCTATCTTCTCTCTCCAAATAAATGAGTTTGATTCTATTATAAGTTTGCTCCTGAAGTCAGGAAACACAGCTCAGAAAAAAACATTTCAGCAATGTTATTTGTGTGGGCTTAATACAAAAAGAAAGAAAAGCCCTCTAACATCAGAAAACCTCCCTAAAATATACCCAATTCAATTTCATGTGTGGTGGTGTGTAACATGGTAAGTGAAAAGATGGCATTCATGGTCATAAGAGACTCTTACAATCCCTGCTAGCCAAAGATAGTAACAGGGGTCTAATTAGAAACTATGGAGAAAACACAAAATAAACAGAATGACCTTTAAGTCTTATACTCTTTTTAAAGAATCCAACATGCAAGTCACCAAAATGACCTCTAATTTCAGAAAAACAAATTATAACTAAAGAACCAACACTCCATGGTGATTTTTGAATCACTATTTCTTTCACTTAAAAAAATCACGTTTTCCCCATAAATAAATATATTATTTTACAACAAGAAAGAAAAAAAGGAGACCTGCAGAAGAGAGAACACACAGCAGATTTTACCTCAAATGGCAGAGATGGGATTAATTTTTTTTAAGTTTATTTGTCAATTTAAAAAACTCACTAGTGGAATAAAGAGCTTAATACAAGTATGCAAAAAGGAAGTCCTGTGAAGTTTTCACCAGGATGAAAGGGGATTAGCTTTGTAGTTCTTATAGTCGTCTTCACAGAAGAATGCAATTTCAGTTTCATTGGCTGGAAAAAAAGAAAAATAGAAAATGGAAAAAAAAATTGAATGTAAAACTAGATTTTAAACAAGTATGGAAATCCATTTCTTTGATTCAGTGCTTTAGTTGCCTAAAGTTAGAAAGATGAGTTACTGGTTTGATTTCACATTTCACAAAATCAACAAGAAGTATAAGTTGTGGTTATAAGACTCTAGAATTCAACTGATTAAAAAGAAAAATAACCAAAAACATTAAAAACAAGAATTAACACATGAATCTGGTTTTCAGGAAATCATAAAATTGCTCATTTATAGTCCTCTTAACAGTCCTAGAAATAATAAGCCTTTATTTTTTCTTACTGAAGAAGGAGGAAAACACTTTTTTTTCCCTCTCTGAAATTGGCCTGTAGGTATAATAATTTAATACTTAGAGGATCAGTAGAATATTTTACAGATCACTTTACATTCTCCCTCATGACCCATCAAAATATGTGTCTGAAGAAGTTAATTTTTTGCCTGCTTATGACTAATTCATGAGGCTTCAACAATATGCAAAATGAAAGACACAAATTGGCTTCTACCGCAATACCTTCAAATACCTCTAATTATTCACAGGGGATATGGCACAGCTAAAGGACCCACAAAGGTTCAGAGCAGTCACAATTCTTTCAACTTAACAGGTCAAGGACTCTGTCTTCTGAAACAATAAGTCAGCAACATTATTAATTCAGACTGGAGACAAACCTGATGGAAAGCCTTCCAATTATTAAACATGCAATTCTTTAAGGCGTCACGCCAACAAGTTCCACATTTGTTTTTTAAATTAAACCAGAAGTTAATACAGTCTGCTTAGCTTTTACAGAAAGAGCAAAAGGGCCTTCAGAATCTTGACAAGAAAACAGACAAGATTATTTGTAAGGAATACTGATCACACAATTAACATATCCTCCTAAAACTGACAAGTGAAACTCTTCAAGCCAAATAAATAGGATAATAAGGAAGGATGCCAAGGATTACCACTGGTCTCCTAGTTTACAGCTCTCATCTCATTAGAATTTATCACAGAAGAACGAAATTAAAGAACTTAGCATGACATTTCTTTAAAAATGCTTTTCGCTGCTTTTAACAATACCAAATTTAATGTTTCTCAAACCTAAATTACCGTGCTCTTTACAGAAAATATAGAAATACTGAAAGAGGAAAATAAAATCACCCATAGTCTCAGATCCTCATTCCAGTCCTACCGTATCTTCAAGACTAGATGAAGATTAATCTTGATAAAAATCAGATTACAAGCTCTTGTCACAATAAGCCTGGATGTGCGTGGAGGGTGTAGGGGATGGGGAGACACAGAAGAAAGAAGCTGGGAATCAATGAGAGGGGCTGTAAACAAATGCACCCTGGGCAAACAGTAAGTTAAGGTACAGTGAAATTTTACAAGAAAATAGCATTTAAAAGAACGGCTAAGAGCTCTACACTTGGAATCAAGGGGCTTCAAAAAATTCAACATTCAAAGAGAAGATATTTTGAGATCTATCCTTCATATAAAAAGCTCCTGGGGTTTCCTTTCTTGAAGAGGAGCAAGCCCAAAGGTACACTACATATTTTGCAAGTGATTCTAATATCCTCCTCCTAATGGAGAATGAGCAAAAGCCCCCTGTTCTTAATAATCACAGTGCAAGGTTTCATCCATGATGTGCTATTTACATACAGAACTTTACATCGCGCTTTGCCCACACAGCACTTTGCTCAATACACACTAACTGTAATTACAATTTTACTTACTGCAGTTGACATTTATCTCTGTACCCCTTCTGAGAAACTAATATATCGTATGGCTCTTCAGGACACCAATAACAGGTTTAGAATTAAGCGGATAAAAAGAAAGAACTGACAAAGCATTTTTGTTTTGACACATAGGTTCTCTTCGTTCTAATTAACTTACAGATCAATCCATTATCTACATCATACATATAATACAGACTCAAAATGAGATCATCTAGGTAAAGATTTTATTTTCAGATGAATGAATTTTTTTCAGGAAAACTAGATTGACAAATGGGTTAAAAACTCAAATGGTCCAGGCTGATGAAAATTTTTCACCCTTAAATTGGAGAATAACACACAAATTAAGAGTTAGTTGCTCTGAACATTCAAAAGAAAGACATAAAATGGATTTTAAACTTTAGTAATGTGGTCCTCAAACAGAAATAGAATATAATGTTTTTTTTAAATCTATAGAACTCTGTTGAAAATGTTTGAGTGATTTCACGTCTTTAGACTGCAAATCGACTTGCCAATTAAAATGAAAACAAATAACGAACGATTTTCAAGACCTCTACATACCACCCTTTCCACCATTATCCCTTAAATTCCTGCTTCCCAAATTCTATTTAAAATGGCTCCAGAAGAACCCTCGGGAAGTCTACCACATGCCAGTCCCCTAGGGCACCTGATTTTAAATTAAATGTGCTGCAGGCGGCAGTGCACTCAGGTGCACAGTGCTTTGGCATGTGAATCTGAAATGAATGTGCATTCTCAAATCCAATAAATACACTCCAGCTCATCCCTTTGTCTTACTATCAAATGAAATCAAGTAAGAACTCTCCAAATACATTTGTGGTTCATTTTAATACTGACTTTCAAGTTTAATAAAATGAATGCAAGCTAGGACATCGCATGTTGGATATGAAATTAAGAATTTTATAAAGTTTCCATTATAAAATACACATATATACACCTTGAACAGTAAAATAATGACTTCAATTTTTTTAAATATAAGAAAAACAATTTTAAATGTAAAATCTCAAGAAAAATTAAGTGCAATGTACTTAAACTCCTCAACTAACTTATTTCAATAAACTCGCCTACCAACAAGGATTTAGTGTATAGTTTCTAAATCCCTAGGCTTGTACTAGTCAGTACCAAAGCTGTGCGCAGCACAGCAACTGTCATCTGAGGAAAGAGACTGAGTCGTGCATCCTGACTGCAGTACAGATAATTAATGATCGGGGCAGACTATCATTGGGTAGGCTGTAATGTGAAAATAACTGCAGATTATTGGCAAAAACAAAAACAGAAACAAAAAAACCACGAAGGGCCAGGTGTGATTTCTGCAGCAATTTGAGACCAAAAGGACAAAGTTTCACCCTCTCCCCTGTTCCAGGACTATACCCCGTCCTTGCAAGTTTCACAAAATCCTAATCTACAAATCATTCAAAACCATGCTCTCTGCTGAGCTATATTTTTAGCTTTTCACCTAAGGAGGTCAACAATCCAACAGATAGTTCCAAACTACTGTGTCTTTTATTTCGTAGCTGCTTGAGCATCTGTTTTCAAGCTGGCAGAGAAGATTCCAAACTAATTTGAAGAAAACAAATAGTAAAATGAATCTGACCTTTGATAGACTGGACACTGTGATTTCCACAACAACGAGGGGAGGGCAAAAAGGGAAGAAACATGTCTGGGAGGTTCCTTCTGACCCTCTTGCTCTGGGATCTCAAATTCCCTGGTCCCACCACCTACTTAATCGAGTACAAGACCACCGCTGTTATGATGTTAACGTGAACAGCCAGTTTAACGCGCTGTCAAAGGAGAAAAGCACGTATGCCCCAAGATATTACTACCGAAAAGAGAATGGGAAAGGGATCCAAACCTTCAGGAAACACAAATCGAATATGATCCTGATAAAGAAGTGGGAGCCAAGGAATCCTATAATATGAGCTGCTTATCCAAGATCACCCAGAGGTGCTAGGCACAAAGACTGGGTTCTGGTTGTGGGCAGACAACAGGGGTGACACATAAGATGAAAACAAACCTCAAGGGAGTTTGGGAATTATTACAAGATCTGGCTTGATGCGAACTCTTCCCACAGATGAGCACTTATGGTTTGGCCGCCTGTATCTTGTTTTAAAATATTTCCAATGAAACATAACTGACTTTAGAAGAGTTACCCTACCCAAGTTTCTTTCCTAAACCAGAGAAGATTCGAAAGATAGCAGCAGTAGAATGTAGCGAAATGAAAGAGATAAAATATAACCCCCAAAATATTTAACACGCAAATTTATTACTTAGGGGAATTAGTCCATAAAACCACAACTGTTAATAACAAGATGAAAATCTTTAAATTATAAATAACAATTCTAGGTAAGGCCTTCTTCTTCCTTCCACAAAGCAAATCTTTTTATTTATGTATTTTAGAACTAAATCCACAAGTAAAAACCTCCCCTGACGTCAAGCGTAGGCAGAATATACAATTGGGATCTGCAATGTAGATAAAAGGCCAGAGAATTTCTCGGTGAGAAAAGAAATCTTCAAACCAGTTTGTTCCCCTAATTTCCCCCCTCACAGTCTTTCTTTTCCTTTCATGGTTTTTTACAGAAAAGTCCTAATGATACATTTGTTACATTGGCATTATTCCCATGGCAATTGGCTATGATAGCAGAGTGACAGCTCTACAGAAAGATCAAGTGGTAAAAAGGGAGAGAGTGATGACTTAGAATTTTTCTCTTAAACCTCTTAAAATCCTAACCAGGCATGGCACCGGGGGAGGGAAAATTCCCTAGAAAAATCACACACTTCAAGTATCACTTTTACCATCTACTTGCACTTAGAATTTTTTGCACTGCTCTAGGCAACAAAGGGGAACATGCAGGAGAGGGGATCACTCCCCACAGGGACCAAAGTCACCCTCAGGCAGGGCTGCAGGCTTGCCATGGCAGGAGAGCAGTTTGAAGTACCACCCTGAAACCAGTGGAGAACCCACAAAAAGGATCTGATGCTGATCTAAGATCTATGGCCTTAAAACAAGAATGACAAAAAGAGGGATTTGATTCACACCGTTATAGGTGGTTCGTTACTTAAGTCTGAAATTAGTAACAATTAAACCAACAACTTGATGTTTTAACAAATTCAAAACATTTGCCAACTGCTTTCTCCAAGATGGCTTCCAAATAAACTAAGTATTTTTGAGGGCCTTTACATGCATTGCTCTAGATGCTTTCATATACATTCTTTTACTCAACCCATGAAAACCCTCTGAAATAGGTTTAATTATTTCCGTTTTGTTTTACAGAAATCGAAGTAGAAGTTCGGAGAGGCTAAATGGCTTCCAGGTCACAAAGCAAGCAAAATGTGGAGACTTCATTCAAACCAATTTTCTCCAAATTTAGGAGTTTATTCCTTAAAATCGGGTCCTCACTTTACAAGTAATACATGTAAATAGTAGAAAAAAGTTTAAATTATCAATGCAAGAACAATTAGATAATGTGGAGAATAAAGGGAAAAAGATTAATTACTGGCAATGCCACCACCCAGAGAAACCATTTCTATAATTTTAGCATATGATCTTTTCTCCATATACATATACAGACATGTAAACACATACATTTTAAAATAATAATGGTATCACACAATATAGTCTATTTCCATTCAATAAACAAAGCTCTACATCAATGAATCCCAAACAGAGAAGGTGAGAGATAACACCTCAGAAGGCATATCACAACCTGGGGGGAGTCACAGAGTTGAAGAAGCACTTCTGTTGGCTTGGTAATAGATATGACAGAAAATTAAGTTTGAGAAAGTCTTATTCGTCAAACTGACCTACAGAAAGTTAGAGGTAATACCGCTTCCGAACAATAGTACGAGAGAACATTCATTTCCTAACACTCCCTCAGATACTACCACTGTTCTTCACGTCTGCTAGTCTTATAATCACTGCTTGTTGAAGGTCACCCAGACATTAAGTGGCAGAGTCAAGCTGTGAACCCAAGCACTCTGACTCCAGCCTCTAATTCTTAACCACTAGAGTAGAAAATTACAAAAAATAGTATCTATTTTCATGTGCATTTCTCTCATTTCTAATAAGGCTGTACTATTTTTTATGTTAGCTATTTCTTCTATCAGTAGAATTTATTTCTCCTTTTTATACTAATTATAAGACCTCTTTATAAAGTCAGGCTAATAACTTTTTCTTTGTCATATATGCTGCAAATATTTTTTCACAGTTTATTGCTTCTTGTTTAACTCTATGTGGTCAAATCTATCATTTCTCCCGGCTTTATGGCTTCTGGCTTCAAAGGCATGCCCTTTCTAAGGGCATGCCCTTCTCCCCAAGATTATGAAACTACTGACTTACATTTAAGAAAATTTTTTTACATTATCACATTTAACCTATAGAGAATTTATTTTGGAATGAAGACTAAGAATTTAAATTTGATTTTCCCAAATGTTTTGGCAATGGGCCCAATGTTTTCTGGCTAATTCATTCTTTCCCCCACTTATCTGAGATGTCAAAATTTTGTTATACTGTGAAATTTCTTTTAGTTGGTTTTGGATTTTCCAGTCTTTTCCATGGAGTTATCTGTCAATTCCTATATCAATACCAGTCTATTATACTAATTATAGTTTTATGCTTAACAACAAGCAGTTGTTAAGTGCCACCTGCTATAATAATATAATAGCAATTGAAGAAATAAATGCCAAATTGAAAATTGTTTTTCCAAATAACAGCAATCAATCTCATGTATTCACAATAAGGAAAGACACTGAATCTAGCCAATAGTGTAGACTTAAACACAGTAAACAAGTCTGACGTTATACAACATGGTATTTAAAATCATATTTAAATTGGAAGATATGTCAGGAACCCACTTTAGCCACATGTGTCATTTAAAAATGAATTCCTGACAGATGTGACTAAAATAACTCAATAAAACACCTGTCAAACAAATGTAAGGCTTCCTAACATGGACTTCATGAACTTTAGAGTGCTCCTTAACCCGTGCATATAAAAAAATTAGAAAGTAAGTATGATTTGTGCTGTTTCATTAGAGTCACTGACCACAAAGGCATGTCAGAGGCATAATGCCTTCAACTGCTCACATCTCTCTCACAAACTTCATCCAACTGCCACATCATTTGTAAGTGTACACATAAGTAGAATTATAGTGACATCTAATGGTCATAAAACATGTCACACAGCACTTCTTTAAATCTACATGCATATTCCAAGTTGAAAGGCTAAATCAGGCAATTTTTCAACTGTACACACTAGGCTCCTATTTGAATTCCATGACTTGGTCGGCCCAGAGTGATCTGGATGACTAACAGAAACTACGCTGCATGTTACACAAACAACATCTCACTTCATTATTCCACATGAGTTCTACCAGGCCCTATTCTCTTAAACTATCTGCTCAAATGATGCTGATATAAGTAGGTTATTAAGTGAGTAATAACCTGTCAATCACTTAAAATAACCTCCGCAGAATTCTGAGCATAGCTTCTGGAAAGAACTATTTGCATTCTGAATGTTTGGAGAGCAGATATCTACTTCCCTGGGTCAAATGATCTGAATCTACATCATTCTTGTCCTTTTCCTCTGAATAATTATACGGTAGTGTAAAGAGCACCAAGGGTACCATTTACATTGCATTAAGTTATCCAAATATAATCAGCCAGGTATCACCATACAGGCCAGGAAAGCCAGGGCCCCCTCCAACTCTACATGGCACGCACACTCCTTCTCACCGATTCCAGCTGCTTTCAGGGTGCTGTCTTCTTTTAACAGGAGGCTGTCATCATCTTCCAAACTCAACACAAGTTCATTCGTCTAGAAAGAAAGAAAATCTGCATTTTACCAGTACTTATATGTGTTTCATACTTGGTAAGATTCCTCAAAGACAACTGAATTGGTACTTTGGGTCACAGCAATAATTTACATTCTGCTCCCATCATTGTAGGGAGAGAAGTGAACAGATACACAGCGAGTACCTGCTAAATGCACACACGCCATAAAGCACTGGGGAGACAGTGCTAGAACACAGAGCTTTGGAGCTGGGGATGGGTTAAAACTCAGGTTCCACCAATATCCAGCTGCGTGGTCTCAACAACCACCTCTTAGAGGTCTCAACAAACAAACCTCTCTTAGAGGTGCTCTTATTGTGCTCATCTGTTAGAAAACAAAAAAAGTAGGGGGAGGGATGCATCTTCTTACTACCCTGTGGAGAGGATGAAAAGAGATGAAGCATATAAAACCCTCAGGACAGTGTCAGCCACACAGGGAGTACTGTTAGCTGTCACTGTTTTGTTATCATCATCATCATCACATCCTCACAATAATCCAGGAGGAATCAGAGAGGTTAAGATATAGGCCCAGACTATATGGCTAGTCAGCCAGGGGGCTGAGGTTCCAGCTTTGGCCAGTCTTTTTTTGTTGTTTTTGAATTTTATTTAGTTTTTTATACAGCAGGCTCTTATTAGTCATCCATTTTATACACATCAGTATATACATGTCAATCCCAATCTCCCAATTCATCACACCACCACCGTCCCCCATGGCTTTCCCCGCTTGGTGTCCATACGTTTGTTCTCTACATCTGTGCCTCAACTTCTGCCCTGCAAACTGGTTCATCTGTACCATTTTTCTAGGTTCCACATGTATGCGTTAATATGCGATATTTGTTTTTCTCTTTCTGACTTACTTCACTCTGTATGACAGTCTCTAGATTCATCCACGTCTCTACAAATGACTCAATTTCATTCTTTTTTATGGCTGAGTAATATTCCATTGTATATATGTACCACAACTTCTTTATCCATTCGTCTGTTGATGGACATTTAGGTTGTTTCCATGACCTGGCTATTGTAAATAGTGCTGCAATGAATACTGGGGTGCATGTGTCTTTTTGAATTATGATTTTCTCAGGGTATATGTCCAGTAGTGGGATTGCTGGGTCACATGGTAATTCTATTTTTCGTTTTTTAAGGAACGTCCACACTGTTCTCCATAGTGGCTGTATCAATTTACATTCCTACCAACAGTGCAAGAGGGTTCCCTTTTCTCCACACCCTCTCCAGCATTTGTTGTTTGTAGATTTTTTGATGATGGCCATTCTGACCAGTGTGAGGTGATACCTCATTGTAGTTTTGACTTGCATTTCTCTAATAATTAGTGATGCTGAGCAGCTTTTCATGTGCCTCTTGCCCATCTGTATGTCTTCTTCAGAGAAATGTCTACTTAGGTCTTCTGCCCATTATTTGATTGGGTTGTTTGTTTTTTTTAATATTGAGCTGCATGAGCTGTTTATATATTTTGGAGATTAATCCTTTGTCTGGTGATTCGTTTGCAAATATTTTCTTCCATTCTGAGGGTTGTCTTTTCGTCTTGTTTATAGTTTGCATTGCAAAAGCTTTGAAGTTTCATTTGGTCCCATTTGTTTATTTTTGTTTTTATTTCCATTACTCTAGGAGGTGGATGAAAAAAGATCTTGCTGTGATTTCTGTCGAAGAGTGTTCTTCCCATCTTTTCCTCTAAGAGTTTTATAGTGTCCAGTCTTACATTTAGGTCTCGAATCCATTTTGAGTTTATTTTTGTGTATGGTGTTGGGGAGTGTTCTAATTTCATTCTTTTACATGTAATTGTCCAGTTTCCCCAGCACCACTTATTGAAGAGGCGGCTGTCTTTTCTCCATTGTATATCCTTGCCTTCTTTGTCATAGACTAGTTGACCATAGGTGCGTGGATTTATCTCTGGGCTTTCTATCCTGTTCCATTGATCTATATTTCTGTTTTTGCAAAAACAAAAACAGTCTGACTTCTGAGAGAAGCAAATTTGCCTCTGCTGAAAGTCCACATATCTAAACACCTTGCTGACAAACACTTGGTCCCATGTCATGTTAACTAACACTTCTCGTGTGATTTGGGGTGGGGGTAGATGAGATTGCTCTCCGATGCTATTCACAAATTCAGTTAAACATCATAAATACAGGAGGATTGCTATCTGCCTGTAAACAGCACCTAGTAGTGAGCACTAGTTGGGCACACAGTACCACCTGTCAACCAGAACGCAGCTGTTTAGTGACGGATTCTCTTTCTAGAATATGGCTGAGAGGGAGGCTCAGCAATGAGGCCTCTCAGCAGCCAAAAGAGCTGACCCAGAAGCCATGCTCCAAAGCTTCACTCACTAGAGAGCACAGGGGCTTAACCTCCAAAACACACAGATTCAAAGGGGGAAAAAGAACTTCACTAAAGACATCATTAGTTAATTGACTTAATATTTATTTATTAAATAAATAAATATCTATTTAAGAAATATGCACCAGGTCTTAGTTGCAGCACACAGGACGCTCCATGCTGCATGCGGGATCTTCGTTGCCGGCTGCGGGGTCTTTAGTTTTGCAGCATGTGGGATCTAGCTCCCTGACCAGGGATTGAACCCAGGCCTCCTGCATTGGGAGCGCGGAGTCTAAAAAATCATTTTAGAATAGGTAATACGTACTCACAATACAAAATTCTCCAAGTACATAGGGACAGAGTGAGAAGTAGTCTCCTCCCAACCCCATCCAACTAGTTCTTCTCCAGAGAATTTGTACTGATTCTTATGTATCCTTCCAGAGACTGTCCCTGTATGTGTACATGCAGGTGGAGGTGGAGATGTGCATGTAAACTTTTTCACACAAATAATGGCATATTATATGCTGTGTTCTAACACCTTACTTTTTTCTCTTAAAATATCTTAAAATCATTCAAAATCAGTGTAAGAGCTGCCTCATAACTTATCAAGGTTGCAGCATATTCCAATGAAAGTATTAACTCTCCCTCTCTGTCCCTACTGATGGACATTCAGGTTGTTTCCTATGTCTTCCTACCATACACAATCCTGCAACAAATATCCTTGCACATATATTATTTTGCATAAGTTTTATCTGTAAGATAAATTCCTAGAAGTAGAACTGTTGAGTCAGAGAGTAAGGGCAATTTTTATTCTGACAGATACCGCCAAATTACTCTCCAAAGAAGCAGTACCCATTTATACCAATGCTACCCATCACTGAGAGTCCCTGTTTCCCACACCCTCACCAACACAGTGTATTATCAAAATCTTTTGATCTCTGCCAATCCAGCAGATATAAATTAAGTATAGTCTTAATTTGTATTTATTTTAAGTAAAGATTTGAATATTTTCTATTTTTTAAGAAACTTGTAGGATAATTTTTTAAATGGAATTGTAAAATTAGGCCTTTCCTGTAATATAAGTTAGAAAATTTTCTCTTAGTTTTTCAGTTGTTCCTTCATTTTTCTTATAGTGTCTTTTTTTAAAAAGAAGGTGCTGAATGTCTGTTGAATAAATTAATGAATAAAGTAAAATGTATCAATCTTTTATTTTCCTATCATATTTGGACCTTCAGTCTAAGATTACTTTTAAAATTCCATGTTTACTTCAAATATTTTAATTAATTCCATCTTTTAAACTTTTAATCATAGAGAATTTCAAACATACAATGTATACAGAATAGTACAATTAACCCTCCTGTACCCATCACGTGGCCTGAACAAATTATTCACTCAAGTTAGTCTATTTCATTTCGACCCTCACCTGTGGGTTTCATCTTTGATTTATGTCATTAACCCAGTGAGTACTTATTTTGGCATAAAGAAAAGGATATGGATTCAATTTAACTGTTTTCTAGATGTCTACCTAGTTCTTCCAATAACATTTACTGAATCCTCCATATTTTCTCCATAAATTTGAAATGCAATATTTAATATATATTAAATTCCTATATATAATAAGGTCTATTTTGGGGCTTCTAATTCTGTGCCATTGAACGAACAGTTCATGTGACAGTACCATATCGTTTTAACTAGTATAGTTTTATAAAATGTCTTAATATGTGCCAGGGTTAGTCACTTTCATTTCTCTTTTTTCTGACTATTCTTCATTATTTATTTTTTGCATCTTAGTTTTATAATCAGTTTCTTTAGCTCATATATATATATACACACACACATCTACACACACACATATATATACAAATACATATATACACACAACTGTAGAATTTTATTTCAATGGCATTAAGTTTGTAAATTAACTATGAGAGAACTGACATCTTCTTGCTGTTGCATCTTCCCATCCAAATATCCTAATATTTCCACTTAAGTCTCATCTTGTACCCCTCTTTACATGCTTTACTTTTTTGTTAAATTGAGGTAGAATTTCACATAAAGAAAATGCATATATCTTAAGAGAAGTTCAGCTCAATGAGTCTGGACAACTGAATACCCTCACTGGCATTTTAAAGTCTTCTTCTTAAAGATCTTGCATATTTCTTACTGAGTTTATTCCAGAGTGTGACTTCTTCCTTTCATATACTTTTAACAAGGATAGCTATCTGGTTTCCAAACTCACAAAATATAAGATAGAAATTATGGTTTTTCTTTCAAATCTTTTTGATAGGAATTATGACTTTACAAGTAGCCTACTGATTATAATCAAAATACAGACACACAAATACATTTTCTTGATAAAAAATAAATCATATTATGGTAATTATTTGTAACTATTGATTCATTCAATAAACACTGAGCTCATCATCCAAACAGGAGGCTCTGGTGGGAAGGTATCCAGTCACCTTTTTATTGTGATGGCAAGAAATTTCTGTGTATACCTGGTAATTGTAATTAAGAAAGTCTTTGGACCTAGAAAATTTGGGAAATGGGGAAAATGCCTTTCGTGAACAAGTTCATTAAGATACAGGAGTTATTTGGAAGTCTCTCCCTTTGGCTAAGGAAGGAGATTAAAATTACAGGTGGGTTGGAAAACTGACAGTCTGAGCCAGTGATGCTTATAGGCCCTGCAAATGAGGAGTAGAATGCACATGGAAAAATGAGAAAAAATGTCTGGTAGTTGGAAAAGGCACAAATGAGGACCTGTGGGTAAAATTTTTAAGTCTTAAAACCATATCTGTGAAAATATATTGACTTCTTCCTTACAAAAGTTAAAGTGGAAATTTGAAGAACCATCTCTGGGGTATATAGTCTGTACTCAACTAGAATGATTATGGTTTAGATGAAAGTTTATAAAGCCAGATTCCAGAAACATTCTAAGTGACTTAGTTTGTTCTGGGACTCTTTCTTTAAGTAAATACATTGTTCAACTAAAAAATAGGCCCGAATTTTTCAACTCTAACATGCCAAGACGGAACATATGTTTTAAATATAAGAAACAATTCTAAGATATTTCCAACTATAGCAGGAAAATTTCCTGACTTTTTTAAAATGTAATAATACTGATTATTTGAATATTATGAACTAGGTCTTCATTAAGGATAAAGGAATAATTTACTTATTATTCCTTTTAGGATACATGAGCTCCATGATGTAAAAATGCAACACTAAATGGAGAATGACAACCTTTTCAAAGAGCATACTGTTTCATTTTGACTTCATTTTATATATTTCCCTTCTACAATCAGACCAAGCTTCCTACTCTCCACGTTTTAGGGACAAGGTTGTAAAGGGTCCTGGCTTGGAGAAGAGAAAGTGGATGGAGTCTGTGGACAGATACAATTCTAGCATCGATACAAAGTACAGATCCCACACCACAGTCCCAGACACACACAAGCACTAAATTTTAAATAGTCTGACAATGGATACTGTCAAATTTGTATATATAATCCTCGGTATGAAAAAATAAAGTTACTGGAAAGACCCAGCTTGATTTTAGCCCAGGGAAACTGATTTCAGATTTCTGACCTCCAGAACTATAAGAGAATAAATGTGTGTTGTTTTAAGCCATCAGAAAAAAAAATGTTTTTGAGTTACTAATTCACAGTCAACAGACATACCCTCAGGCCAACTTCTTTATGATCTTTTGTTATATGTTTATTTCAAAGCTGATTGAGTTTATGGAGGGTATCTATGACTAGAGAAGAGAATGAAATTAAATGAATTCATAAAATACTTCCTTCAAAAATTGTTATGGAAACACTCCTACGAATGAGGCATTGTGCTAGGTATTGGAGATATGAAGAATAAGATACAGTCCCTTGTCCTTGAGTAGTCTGTATAATAGAGAAGGTTATTACTTTACTGAGAAGTCTACACAAGGTCACTGAGATTCAAGAAAAAAGATCACTCTGGTCTATCTGTATGAGAAGCAAACATAAAAACATCGCTCTAAAAAGGTAAGAAAACAGAAACAGAAATATACGATAAACACATAACTAATCAGTCCTCTTTTGGGGAAGGCCATGTCCTCTGTGGAACTAATAGGTCTGTTCCCAAGAGCCACAGTCCGGGGCCTTCTCTCATACACCGGAAGAGTCAAATCAGAAAAAAACACGTTATTTTCATCTGCTTTTGGCTCTCTTCTTCTGGTACAGAATTAAGAAAATCAAAGAAATTGGACTGACAGGTAATACCTGCCTTCCTTTATATGTAACCTGAATTAATTTTACCACGTTTTATGCTTATTTTATGTTACACATTTGCTTGATACATAACGTTGCTTTTTTTTTAAATTAACACTTTCTTTTAAAGGATCTACTAACAGGAATATGACTTAGAGGTCTTTTTTTTTTTTTCCTTTAATGGAAAAGTAAGGCTATAGAAAGGGTAGCTACAAAATTAAAAATGTTATTATAATGGAAAATATTTTAGAAGTACATGTGTTCATTCACTGATTCACTAAGTCAACCAAAATTGATTACTTGCTATGTGTGTGCCAGATACTGTACATACAAAACATACCTTTGATTTATGTGGTTGATGCACAATCTTTAGTTTATCTGAAAGAAAAAAAAAAAACAAGTTGTCTTTTTACTAAAACTATTCTAAAACTTCATTTCAAACTATTAAAGTGAGATGGGGGCAAGGTGGCAGCTATGAAATTGAGAAATCTGAGTCTTTGCCTTATGATCAGGTTCACTTAAACCTCTCGTACACAGTAAAGTAAAAATTACATTTGCATATCATTAGAATTAAAGATCACTGTATAAAGATATTTTAAAGCACTGGCCTTTGACACACACAACTGTGTTTGTACCATAACCTGAAGTCAACTCAGCACAGTTTCCCTTAGAAGACAGGTGAATGACATTATTCTACCCTGTTTGTTAGAGTCGCTAAATGCTAAGATTAGCAAATAAGGTTTAAAAAAAACAGTCTGTCTTAAATTAAGACAGACTTTGTTAATGTCTAGTACTACTACTATTACTAATCTATTAATCTCTCAGAATAGATTCAGTGACAGGAGGTCAAATCATACCAACAAGTTGTTACCACTCTCAGAATTCAAACACCATCAAGGATCACTGGTAATCTGAGCAAGGCTGCTAATACCCAAAGACTACTACTGTTTCCTGGTTTGGAAATACTACACAGGCTCACACCATCTAATCTGCTTTACTCAATTCAGAAAGTATCCAATTCTCCACTCAGTTTTATCTAATCATTTAATTAATGTATTATGAATACATGTGTTATTATGTCTGAATAAACTCTTAACCTTAAACTAAAATTCATTTCTATCAATCTCGCTGTTTGATTCAACAAGGAATTCACTGAAATGAAATGAAACAAGACTAAAAAGGAACAAGATAAAACCCCAGAAAAGGGAGGAACCAAGATGGCGACCTAGAAGGACGTGCTCTCACTCCCTCTTGCGAGAACACCAGAATCACAACTAGCTGATAGACAATCATCGACAGAAAGACACTGGAACTCACCAAAAAAGATACCCCACATCCAAAGACAAAGGAGAAGCCACAATGAGACGGTAGGAGGGGCGCAATCACAGTAAAGTCAAATCCCATTACTGGTGGGTGGGTGACTCACAGACGAGAAAAATTATAACACAGAAGTCCACCCACTAGAGTGAAGGTTCTGAGCCCAACGTCAGGCTTCCCAACCTGGGGGTCTGGCAACAGGAGGAGGAATTACTAGAGAATCAGACTTTGAAGCCTAGTGGGAATTGATTGCAGGACTTCAAGAGGACTGGGGGAAACAGAGACTCCACTCTTGGAGGGCACACACAAAGTAGTGTGTGCATCGGGACCCAGGGGAAAGAGCAGTGACCCCATAGGAGACTGAACCAGACCTACCTGCTAGTGTTGGAGGGTCCCCTGCAGAGGCGGAAGGGGGTGGGGGGGGGCTCTGCTTACCGTGGGGACAAGGACACAGACAGCAGAAGTTCTGGGAAGTACTCCTTGGCATGAGCCCTCCGAGAGTCTGTCATTAGCCCCACCAAAGAGTGCAGGTAGGCTCCAGTGTTGGCTTGCCTCAGGCCAAACAACAAACAGGGAGGGAACCCAGCCCCACTGATCAACAGTCAAGTGGATTAAAGTTTTACTGAGCTCTGCCCACCAGAGCAACAGTCAGCTCTACCCACCGGCAGTCCATCCCATCAGGAGACATGCAAAAGCCTCTTAGATAGCCTCATCCACCAGAGGGCAGACAGCAGAAAGAAGAAGTACAATCCTGCAGCCTGTGGAACAAAAACCACATTCACAGAAAGATAGACAAGATGAAAAGGCAGACAGCTATGTACCAGATGAAGGAACAAGATAAAACCCCAGAAAAACAACTAAATGAAGTGTATATAGGCATCCTTCCAGAAAAAGAATTCAGAATAATGATAGTGAAGATGATCCAGGACCTTGGAAAAAGAATGGAGGCAAAGATCGAGAAGATGCAAGAAATGTTTAACAAACATCTACAAGAATTAAAGAACAAACAAACAGAGATGAACAAGACAATAACTGAAATGAAAACTACACTAGAAGGAATCAATAGCAGAATAACTGAGGCAGAAGAACAGATAAGTGACCTGGAAGACAGAATGGTAGAATTCACTGCTGTGGAACAGAGTAAAGAAAAATGAAAGAAAAGAAATGAAGACAGCCTAAGAGACCTCAGGGACAACATTAAACGCAAAATCATTCGCATTATAGGGGTCCCAGAAGAGAGAGACACAAAGGACAAGAGAAAATATTTCAAGAGATTATAGTCAAAAACTTCCCTAACATGGGAAAGGAAATAGCTACCCAAGTCCAGGAAGCGCAGAGAGTCCCATACAGGATAAACCCAAGGACAAACACGCCGAGACACATAGTAATCAAACTGGCAAAAATTAAAGACAAAGAAAAATTATTGAAAGCAGCAAGGGAAAAACAACAAATAACATACAAGGGAACTCCCATAAGGTTAATAGCACAATTCTCAGCAGAAACTCTACAAGTCAGAAGGGAGTGGCATGATATACTTAAAGTGATGAAAGGGAAGAACCTACAACCAACATTACTCTACCCGGCAAGGATCTCATTCAGATTTGATGGAGAAATCAAAAGCTTTACAGACAAGCAAAAGCTAAGAGAATTCAGCACCACCAAACCAGCTCTACAACAAATGCTAAAGGAACTTCTCTAAGTGGGAAAAAAAGGGAAGAAAAGGACCTACAAAAACAAACCCAAAACAATTAAGAAAATAGTCATAGGATAATTACCTTAAACGTGAATGGATTAAATGCTCCAACCAACAGACACAGGCTTGCTGAATGGATACAAAAACAAGACCCATATATAT